TTTTGCATCATAATTTTTTCGCTACCATCCAGACAAAACTTGTACAGCATTGGGCGTTAAGTTCACAATAATCAAAGATGACATTTCATAGTTATCGTCTATGCTGGTACACAGTGCCATTGACTCGCAAATTGTGAATGAAAGTACATTGAACCGGTGCCAAATGTGTAGGCCTCACTCATTAACAATTGTATTGCTTCACCACTTTTGTTGCCAAATATGATTTTCGCTGTTGCGGAAATTCGAGCATTCCTTTATCTGTGGCAGACTGATTGATGGCGTCTTTAGAAGTTGCTCATCCAGTATTTGAGAGTTGAAAGGACTTTCAACAAACATCTTTGTAATTCTGACTTAATCGTTTAGTATTAACACGTCGTCAAGTTGAGGACACTATATGTACAGTAGTATAAAATATATATTAGACAATTTATACATTCTATAAATCTAATCTAATCACTAATATTATAAATGCAAAAGCTTGTGAATGAATGAATGGAGGGATTTTTGTTACTCTTTTACGCAAAATCTACTGAACGGATTTTTTTTAAAACTTTACAGTACAAAAATATTTCCAGAGAAATATGGGCGTATCTATAGTTGTTGTTATAAGGCCGTCAACAATTCAGTTTAAAAAAAAATGCTTGTACTTCTTAAGTAAATGTAGATAGAAATGTACAGATAGGTTTCTAAACACCCACATCAGAAGTAAGTACATCACAACTGTCAATAAACGTTACAACCAATGCTTTATCTTTATATTCAATGGTCTATATAGATCTAGATGCGATAACTTAAATTCGTGACACGTGGACAGTTGTAACAGTAGTTACAACTGTCCACGTGTCACGAATTTAATAGACAGCTACAAATGGAGATTCTAGATTACTTTCTATTGAAAACATTTGAAAATTCTTATGATTTGGAACGTTTTAAATAACTTCGTTTCGTCATTTCAATATGTTGGTAATTATTTGTAATTCTTAATCATTATATTAATACATAAAGCAAAATTAGCATTTTACGAAATTTGCGAGAACGGAGGAGTCAAGAACAAAATCAATCATATCATCAGACTCTTATGATATGTCAAATCTACCGTAAGTTCGGAGTGCCTTCTGTGTGAAACTGACAAGAAACTTAGCTCTTATTCTTTTCAAATGAGCTTGTACATGTTTACAAGAGTATTAAATTTCACACTCTTATTGTTTATATAGAGAAGGAGTACAGAATGCTAAAATATGTCTATTTAAAACTCAATAAAACATTTGACTCACTTTCGCATATATACTCTTTTGTTTAATTGTTATTGCTGATTCAAAGATCGTTTTGTATTTTTTAATATGGTCGATTGTAGACCTAGTGGTCGTAAAAAGAGAGGAGAGGTCGTGAGAGTAAATATCTAGTCTTTATCGGGCATTCGAAATTTAAAAATATATTTATTTTGACTCATACCAGTCACTTATTGCGTCATATTTGTTTAATTTTTTCGTTTTATGTCCAGTTCAGGAAGTAGTAATGGTATTGTTATATATACAATTAAGTACTCTGTGCTACGTGTTCTTTTTATAAAAACAACAATCGAAGTTCTTGGCAGTTACTCTCGATTGATAATATTTTTATACAATGTATTGTATAAAATGTATTGCTGGCTGTAGCCATTAGTATTGTAAAAAGAGAAAAAGTAAAACAAAAAATGGCCTATATAAATATACATTACATTTTTTTATTGAAGTAGATGAAGTTTGCTGTGAAGTAAGTGTCTACGTAGGTGCCTCAGGCTTACCTATTTCAGCCGTCCCGCAGTTTGCTTTGTAAGGCCTGTTTCGGTTGTAAAGCGAGTAAAGGCAGTGAAATTACAGGATAAGAGGTATGACGTCTTAGTCTTCCGAAATGATAACACGTGGGCGTCACATTATAACGTAATGCACATTATGCTGTTTATATCATATACGACGGTTACTACTTACCATCAGTTGTTGGCTTGTTTACCATTCCTTTTTCGTGAAAAAACATTTTCTTTAAAACATTGTTATTTTAGGAATTACTTTACCCGGAATGCGTTTTATATCATACAGCATACCAGATGCTGTATGATATAAAACGCATTCCGGGCAGGCAAGAAATTTCGTAATATACGCTGTCTTTTGTCTGTAGAGAATATAGATACAGGGTGACATGAAGAGAAAACAAACGTATAATATGCCTTATTGTTTGTTAAACTAAGTCGAAGGTCAACTGACTTTTACCTCATAATAAAATGACATTGGCCCAAAGAACGCTATCAGCGGATACCGACACTGTGTCACCCTTGAAACGTTAAGGGCTTATTGGTACGCTTATTTATGGCATGGCTTCATTTGTTTCCGGGTTCATTTCCTGCCGCAACAGCATGTGTTTGAAAATATAAATAAAAATATCGCGAATTAGTTGTTATTTTTTATAAGTTGCCAGCAAGTGTCAAGTTTAAGCAGTATGGATTATCTATGATTTCTTTTTGAAATTAGAATTAATATACTCGTATCATTCTAACATCAAAAACAAGTCATAGACAATGACAATGGAACATATCACTAGGTTATATAATAATAATATCGTAAAATATCGCATTGTCACTTTAGTTTTATCACTATATTTTTATCATATAAACTGGCTACAAATATGATAAATTTTCTTTACAATCAATGTGTATGTCACTTGATTTCACAATATTTGATAATTGATGAGAGATGTGTATGTTTATAATACCTAAAATTTTTTCAACGTATGCAAAATCTTCCATATACTTCACGCCGGAGGAATGGCAGGGTGGTGTGTGGGGTTTACCCACTAAAAACCACATGATGTACCTGCAAACGCCTATGCTGGAACTAGGGATTTCGCATGTGCATTCCACGGGGCCGACGGCGAAGGACCGCCCTATAGGTGTAGTAGGGCAGGCCCCATCTCGCTGAGATTAGGACGACCTAAATCGCCCTACTCCATTGTGAAGGCGTGTGTTTATAGTACCTAATTAATTTTTTTCACAGAAACATATCTTCACAGAATATGAAATGAAGTTGCTTCCGCTGTCTGTTCACTTAGATCTTTTAAACTACGCAGCGGATTTTAATGCAGTTTTAAGCAATATATAGAGTGATTTATAAGAAAGGTTTATATGTATAATATATGTACACTAGTGCGAAGCTGGGGCGTAATAGCTCTTAATAAATGAATCGTAAAAATGGATGGAATAATGGAAAAGGAGAGCACGGCCAAAAACAAGATGGTTGAATTGTATGAAAGGTGATTTGTAAAAAAGGAGAGAAAACTGGTAGGGATCAGTGGAGGAAGAGGACATACTGCGTTGAATCCAAATGATGGAACAAAGACGAGGCATACCTTTATAGTGGTCATGTAAAGTGGTTGCAAAAATAATATATTGCACTCCATGTGCTAGTCCAAGAGCATACAATAGGTCAGATTATTTAAATTAAATGTCACTAATAAATAATAAAAATTTAAAACAACCATAACTATATATAATATGACTAATGATTATGTTTGTTATTAAAATAGCTTTTCCTATTGATTACGTTGATAACTATTTTGAAATATTTTTTATGTATTCGTTGGGTTTTACAGCTGTTTAACGAAACGAATGCTTGGCTAGTACTTAGTAACTGGTAAGCAATAATTTTTAATAAAAACTGCAAACAAATGTAATAATAATTAATTTTTTATTCAATATTTACATTTTACATTGTTCACTACTAAGTAGAAAACTAGTATTTTAGGTACCAGTTCCCTCGTCTTACAAATTACAATGATTGGAATTACAATTGACGGGAAACAACAAATAATTATATGTTGAAAAAGAACTGAAATCCATTCACTTTTGGTTAATAAGTATACCACGTAACGTACCCATAACAGAGTTGATACAGATAAATAATGTACATGTGTTATATAATGGAAAGGGACAATAATTCGAAATCCAGTGATAGTATTTATAAACTGGACAACTTTCAATTATTGACTGCCTCAGTGGACTAGCGGTTCGACAGACTTACTTCCGATGGACGCATGTTCAATTCCGTGTATATTTCTTTGTATTATTCTAATATTTCTATATTATTGCCTCTAATTACAAAAGATAATATAGTATTTGTAACGGTTGTTTAGTATCCATCACACAAGTTTTGTTTTGACTTGGAACTAAATGGCGCTGTGTGAATTGTCCAGGGTTTTTATTTTCGATATCAACTATAGTCACGTTTACTGTCTCGTTGAACTCGGCACGTAGGCATAACGAAAGCAGCACACTGAAAACAGCAGCTACGTTCAGACCTGCGTGATTTATAATGTCACTAATTTGACCCGCGATTTCAACTGTTTTTTTAGAGGTACTACTTAAACTACTAACTTTAGATAAAACTACATTATTTTTAACTAATTAAAGTTTATTCCAGCAGCTGATATAAATAACTTAATGTTAGTACAATTTGGACACAATTTAATCACTCCGCATTAAGACTCATTGAGTGTTATCAGAAATCATAAGCCCGTGTAGCGCAAAATGAAATAAACGTAATAATTGGGTATGGTAGATATATTCCACCTGTACACTAAACTCCAGCACTAACTCACGACGAAGGTACTACACGGAACAAATAAGTAGTGAAATCTCATCCCATATCATACTTAACACTATAAGAACGACTGTTAACTTTCTTACCGATTCCTTTCACCTAAAACTTTAGCCTGAACTGGATACCGTCCAGGAGAAAATAACACAAAAATATTCACATGCATAAGTGTAAAATTTTCCACTTGATTGAATTTAATATTATAAATTTAAAAATATATCTTTTACGTTTTCATGACTAAGCCGCTGGTCGGGTCTTCTCGAAAATTAATATCTCGGATGTTGTTCCATTAATAAAAAAATCATTACTCCCCTTAGGAAAACCCTGCCTGTTGTTAATGACCATTTTGATTAATTTGTTTTGTATTGTACACAGGTGGCTACTGGAACACAGGACTCTCTGACGGTAAGTGATTCTTGTAGCATTTATAATATTGGAGTGGCAAATAAGCGATTCAACAACTAGATGAAATGTGGCAATGGTTGCCTAAAATAGATGAAATGTGGTAAATGAACAGTATTGATACCATTGATGGCCATTACTATTGGATTTTGTCTATGGTGAACAGAGTCACGCCCACCTTACAGTACCGGGGGAAGGCGATTGTTAGTAATAATGACTGATGACCCCATTATACGCAATATACCATGTCAGACTGGCCTCCTGGATATTATTGTGATGAATTCACCACGATGGGCTAACTGACCTGATCTCATGCTCATCTTATCATCCTCCACTAGTGACCGGCCAGCGTAAACCGTTGGTGTAGGCGGGTACACCATTCTATTATCATTCATTAAAAAATGCAAGTATTGCCTTTTAACCTAATATTTCTGTATAGATATTTGCACCGCTATCAAGACACAACGTGTTATACCTTTTTTGGTTATGGTTATAGTAATCCTAATATTCTTTACAACATCAAAGGTTTCGTAAGGGTCGGAAACCCCTAGTGTTTCTGGCGTCCATAGGCCCGTAGCCTATGTATAATGTATAAACGTTTACCATCAGATGGACCATACACTCGTTAGCCACCATTGTAATATATATTTTAAACACTTTGATAATTTTCACCCTTTTGATCACAATTTCTCTATAACTTTGCTAATAGTAATGCAAAGACTGCAAGGTTATAAATCTACAATAGATTCTATATACATATAGTGTCCTATTCAACTTATTGTTCTATAGGTGGGATAAAAAATTGCTCTCCCCCAATATCTTCCATTCTAGTACGCTGAAATCGTTGTGCAAGAAACTCTGAGTTATCCTGATATGTTACATAAAATTATACATTCTATTACTATTATAAAGATATCCAAGGTGATACTAAATTCTTGTTATATCTGTTCAAAATATCTAGATTACAATGTAACCAAACTGAATAGTTATGCATTCATCATTCAAACCATCATAATTTTTGACAGCCTCGGTCGGTGGTCTAGCGGTTTAGCACAGCACTTTCTGATGCTCGCGGGTTCGATTCCTCGCATGCTATTCACATTTGTTTTTATGAGTATATCATATGTAATTATGATGATTGTTTGTATCGGTCTTTGTGTTTTATTTATACTATATATGTATTTTAAACATGTATCTACGTAGTTATATTAGCTGTCTAGCACCCATAACAAAAGCTCTGCTTAACTCGGGAATAGATGGCGCTGTAAATATATTATTATTAAATTCTTTATCCAGTTTGTTAAATAACTAAATAATAAGTAATTTAAAACTACGTGTAGAACTCTTTGCAATTATTTTTTTACTGATCCAACAAAAATATATGACATGTTTTAAATCTTTATCCTAATACGAAAAGATTGTTTCGTAATATTATTATATTTCATCCAATACCAAATGATCTAAAAAACAGAGCCTGTATTTGGAATAAAAATACCTAAAAATGTCGCTTATTTTGTGATTCATTCCATTGCCTTTGATATTATATCCAGTCTGAAAGATAACGTCTTAGAATTACAAAAAACGATGTTCAAACCCAACCAAACCTTATAAGGAGCGTAGCTAAATCGCTCGATCTTATATTCTTTGACACTCGATCTGGAAAACTCTCTTTTCAACAAAAAGTACAAGGAAATTACGCTTAATCCCTCCCCTCCCAAGATCATAGTCGAAGTTGCTTATCTACTGTAAACTCTCAGTTGAAAATATTTAAGAACAATCTCGAACGCAACTGTGTATGCAAATATGAATATGATTTTTTTACAATTCAATTCTAAATATTTTGTTTAATATATAATATTATTTCTCAATATAAATTTTCTATATAAACAATTACAAAAAACAAACTCTCGGTCGAAAATATTTAAGAACAATCTCGAACGCAACTGTGTATGCAAATATGAATATGATTTTTTTACAATTCAATTCTAAATATAAATATATTATACATTAGTCCTCGTACAAATCCTCGTCTCGTCCCGTCTCGTCGCCTGTCTTATGACTAATGACTGTATGTACAGAAGCATCTTTTAGTTGCTTATCTATCAACTCTCTGTGGAAAATATTACAGAACCATTTCGAACATAAATACTAAGTATGCAATATGAACTTTTTACAATTAATTTTTTAAACACAAATAGACTACATTGGTTGTAGTTGCCTGTCTTATGGCTAATGATCTGCCTGAATTACCTATTTATAATGACTATTCTTTATCTTTACATACTATAAAATAAAATCGCTTTCGCTGTCCTATATATGCTTAAATCTTTAAAAGTACGCAACGGATTTTAAAGCGGTTTTTTTTAAAAGATAGAGTGATTCAAGAGGAAGGTTTATATATAGAATAACTCGGGGCAAGTGACTAGTTTAAAATAAAATAATACATAAATATTAGTATATTTTTTGTGTTAATGTTTCTTCCCCATCATTTGAATAAATCGTCGTTAAACATCTACATCTCCAATTCTTTCCGTGTGGTATGGTAATGTGGGTTTAACATTTTAGAATTGTTTTATACTTTTTTAAAGATTTTTGTTGCTGGCAGCTTGTTCACTATTCTTTTTATAAACATATTATTTTGATACTCTTTTTTATATGTCCCTATTTGACTTGCGAGCGCTCTTAGGAAATTTAAAAGTAATATAACACTATTAACACACTATAACACTATTAAGAGAAATTAATGTGTAATTTTTTTTATTACTTGTCTAGCGATCCCCCTCCAGTCCCACTATTATATAATATTATTGTGGTAAATATCTAGTTTATAGAAGAGTTTATTTGCAATTGTCAGAATATCATTACAGTCTACCCAACAAGTATTTGTCTATTTACTCGTATTGCTCTGACCAACGATGTCTTTTTACAAGGTTGTATTACCTAACTACTTTAATAGCTAACTAACTTTAATAAGCAGTATGTTTGGTTTAGATTAGATTAAATTAATTGATATTAGATTATTAACAAACGAATTGTAGTTCTTGATATGCTTCGGCTCATTATTAAATTTTCCTTTCTGTTTAATATTTCCTTCCTTTAGGCTATTTATTCGTTTAAGATTTTAAGCATTGAAATTATTTAAAGTTATATTATGGTTGAATTTTTTAAAGTCACGCTTTAGTTTTGTTTTTAAGGGATGGTAAGGGAATCGTGTACTCTCCTTCGCTTACGGTATACGCGATACGAGTATGAGGTCAGGTTAGTTAGTCCATCGTTAGACTAATTCACCAAAAACTTAACATAATGGTTTCTGGGGGAACCGCGTGGAGGTCAATGATATGATACGTTGCTAGCAATTAGGTTATTAATCCTTATTACTAACGGTACCCATCCTCACACAGGTTTAATAATATAATTGGAAACAGAATGTAACCTTCACTATACCCGACTCGTTGTCTCAATGTGGACTGTTGATCTTATTATCTTATTATAGCAATGTACCATGTTAGGTTGACCTCCTAACGGTTCTTCCTAGAAACCATCGTGACAAATTCTTGGTGAATTTGTCAGGATGGGGTATCTAACCTGACTTCGTGCTCATCATATCATCTTCCACTAGTGTCTCGCCAGCGTAAACCGTTAATGCAGGAGTATGCACCATTCCATTAACATCCATAAAAAAACCGTGAACCGTACTGTTAAACATTAGTATGTAAAATATTGTAATAAACTACTTTAAATTAAGGCATTTGTAAGTCAAATTGCAATATTTCGCGACGCAATATTGCATTTTCCATTAGTAAACATTGTAGTCGAAGTGTCCTATTATGAAATCGTGACAACGATATAATGTTAAATCATTAATGATATGTCCGACAGCACGCAACGCACTATTATAACATAACGACAATCATTTGATGCGACATCGAGTTTTACTCAAGTATTTTAGGAGTTTCTATAAAAATGGTCTTTAGGTAATTATTTACTCGCTCCATAGAGGTACATTGACTTGATTACGGTGTGTTAATGTATGCATCTTTTATATTGATTGACACATGTAAGTATCGTTCGCTTTCGTCTACAGGTAATTTTATATTATAATATATAAATAAAGAAATAACTCTGAATAATTAACACAGCGCCATCTAGTCCCACGATAAGCAGAGCTTGTGTTATGGGCATTCGACTGATATTGATACTTAAATACATTTTTTTGGAAATGCATACATAATATACATAGAAAATCTCTAAACTAATAAAAAAATATACTCATTCAATATAAATGTTTTCACCATGAGAGGAATCGTATCCGCGATCATCGGAAGTAAAGCAGTATATTAAGACGCTAGACCACCGTATATTCGTCACAAAAGTGATAAGGGGTTATATATTTTTAATATAAATACGCAGAATAATTACATTTTTGTGTATGTATTATACAGTGTCCAGTGTGTAGTACAGTGCCCAAAATACGTCAATAATGTACGTCAATTAACTAACAAACGGGTCGCCTACATGCATCTTTCATTTTACGTTTTACAATGACAATAGTGTCATTGTACCTAAAAGACTAATCGACTAAAAAACAAATTGCATACAATGTATCTTAACTATAATATTGGTTGACAGCTTAAAAACCTAATATTATACGGGACCGTGAATTTAATATTTATTTTAACAGTTATGACAGATCGTATGCGAGATATCGTATGAACTTGCGTGCAAACATCAGCTCAACGATCCTTGAGATTGAATTTACATTTCAAATTAACTTATTTACACAAACAAATAATTCTAACGCATCACACTAACGTGCGAACGATAATTCTTTATTTGTCGTAATTATCATAATTATCATTGTTTTTTTATATTGATGTACGTATATGATGTTCTACATCTGTGTTTTGTTTTCAATTTGATAGATTCTTGTGAGTACCTACCTATATGCTATATCGTAATTATTTTTAAATATTCAACATATTTTTTTATTTCAATTTTATTTA